CCCCCCCATGCCCCTCCGTTCTCAAGTCACCTGCCCAGCCTTGCTGGAGGGGGCCCTCAGCTCCCTTGTCCTGACTGGGCTGGAGTGCAGCGGCTCCAATTCATGTGGGTGGCGGTGGAGTGGGTCCAGCATAGGCTGGAGGGAGGAGGAGGGGAGCCCTGTGGCTTCCCCCTCACTCTAGACTGTGGCACCTGCACTGTGCCAGGTGGCCTGGCCATGGCTCCTTCTGGGCACCATCTCCTGGCCACCCTGCCCCTGCAAGCTCAGGCACTGGCTGTGGTGCCTTTGACCTGACCATACAGCTCCCTGCAGCCCTTGACAGCCCTCCTGCACCTCCCTTTCCCTTCCCCTGCTGGAGGGGCAGGTGCCTTCCCCCGGCAGACTCGCCCATCTCTCCCCACACACCAATCCCTTCCACCCCCCCGTTCCCCATAGACTTACCTGCATCCAGCTGCTGGGGCTGCTTCCTCCACTCTGCCTGGCTGTATGCCAGCCATATGCAGGTGCATTTGGCACCCCCTGCCTCCAGTTGCCCCAAGCAGCTCCTTGTAGGCTGGAAGGCTGCCAGTCTGCAAGGCTAAACCTGTGGTTTCTTCCTTTTAAAGAAGAAAATGCTTATTTTTCCACAGCAGATGGAAAACGCGGATCCCTGGTAAACAAGCATGCCACTAGGGAATGCAGTTCTATCAGCAGAATCTCAGTCGCTTGTTCATATTTCAAAATCCTGCCTGGACAGATTGGAGGACCCAAAAAAATGACATGTCTGGGAAAACCGGGACCCCACCTTTAAATCCTTGCCTACTATCTCTTTCAGTAGCGTTAAACCTTTTGGTCCTGCAGGCTGGATAAGTGGCACGGGGCCAGTCCTTGGGCCAGATCCCAGCTGTGGTCAACATGTGGGTTTGGGCCGCACTTCATCTGATTCGGGTGCCCTGTGCCCAGATCCTTCCTTGTGCCACCCAGATTGAACCTGGTATTTCCCCAGCCCCATGTGCTTGGCCTAGTGTGCAGGGCTACACTGTCTGCTTGTAGGGCGCCCCATAGGCCTGGAAACTTGGCAGCTGGGAAGCAACAGGTGGTGCTGCTGTCTCTCCACAGCTGCTAAACTTGCAGTCTGAATGACGAGACTCCATGTGCTGTCTGTGTGCTGTGGGTTAGGAGCTGAGCACCCCTGATTTTTCTCTTGTATCTGGTCAGAGTTTGTGGAGCTGTTACTCCGGGTTTGTTATTTGATGGTGTAGGAGAGCATGAATATAATGGGGCTTGGTTGAAAGCATTAGATGTTATTGCAGGACAAAAATCGTAGGTACTATGAGACAAGAGGATGGCAGTAATAGGAGAAGTGGAGGAAGTCATAAAGTGAAAGCATAATAAAAGCACAGGAGATTTGGTTAGGATGTGGTTGCAGATATTGTTTCACTCTCTCCTGTACTAACCCCTGGGATTGAGTCTAGTATGAGTCAGGCACATTTTTCCCTGCCCTGCTAATATGCATATATTGCAGAAAGGTTGAGGCAGGGGGACACATGTTCAAGAAAAACAGGAATGGTTGCTCTGAGACCGTGTTTCTGGCTGAATAGTGGAAGGCAAAGACTTGTTGGATGTTCCTTGTTGTCAGTTGGTGGTCGAAGTAGTAAAAAGTCTAGCCTGATGACCAGTGTACAAACGGGGATGGAATTTATGGGGGGTGGGAACCCCTCCATAAATAATGGTATTTTGAGTGTGGATTGTGTTTTTTCTTCAGTATTGAGGAAATCTTAATAGCTTCTGAGTTTTATATCTTTATTTGTAAATACAGTAGATTGCTCAAGCAATGTTGGAAATAGTATTGTGACTGGGGCCATAAACGGGGTTTTAAATGCTGCCCAGCTGACCAGCAAAGGTAGTGATTTCAAAGCCAGCAGGATTGGGTACCGGGGCTGGGGAAGATGTTCCTGGCTCTGTGGGCTGTGCATGCTGCCTGTGCTGTACAACTGAGCAGCATACACAGTCATTTCTTTTTTGTTTTTCCAAGCCTGTGGGGTGGGGAAACTGAGCCTCCATAAGCAATCCCCACCCTGGTTCCTGACTTCCTGGGCTTTAAATGCTATCCCCACTCCCTGGCTTGGCAATGGTGAGTAGCAATTTTAAAGTCAGAAGGGGAGGGAACCAGGGCTGGGAAAGCTACCCTGCCCTGGTTCCCAGTCCTGTGGACTTCAGATGTCACCTGTGCCACCCACTGAGTGACACATGCAGCAATTTTAAAAGCCGGGGGCCAGGATTCAGGCTGTCCCTTGCCCTGCTTCCCTGCATCTCCAGCTTTAAATCACTCCATCTGGGGTACACACGAGGCAATTCAAAACCTTTGGGGGAGAGGGTACCTATTGACAGCCTGCTCGTTCCCAGGCAGGGAAGAAGACAATGTCAAGTATTGGGCTTCCCTGAAGGTGGTGGTGGCCAGTAGAGATGAACATCTGTCCGTGGCTTGTGTGTTGGAGGACTATACAAGATCTCCAGATTTCTGCAAACCAGACCCATCTTTTTACAGAGTGTCCAAATGTTTGACTGTAGTACATCATAGCACGTTACCTGTTTTAATACTTGTAGTCAGAAGTCTCCTGAAAAATACATAAGGTTTTTAGTGTTTATGGACAGCAAATGTAAACTTAAAGTAGACTTCTCTAGATGAGAGCTGTTTTAAGATGCACATTCCTAAAAGTTACACTTCTCAAAAGTGGAAGAACCTCTAAATTTTCAAATTGTTATTTAAAAAAAAAAAAAAAAAAGTCTTCAATTGGCTTCATGGCGCTGGTAGTAATAGTTTTTTTGGTCTTTCTGTGTTTGGAGCTACACATGGGAAATTTCAGGTAGAAAGCAGTGATGCTGCTTCTCACAAATGATGCTGTAAGAGGTGACTTAAAATGAGGCAGAGGAGCATGTAAATATTGCTTAGGTGAAAATGGATTTTTTTTACTTTGCTAAACTGGGTTAAAATTACTTAATTTTGACTCATTTAATTTACAGATATTATCGGATGTTGTTGAGTTACACACACAAATTGGAAAGTTTCCTGATTTTCAGTTTGAATAGTAACTTATCATGCGTGATCATTTAACGTTTCTCTTCCTTTCCTGAGAATTGAAGCCAGCCATAAAACCTCATTTTAAGGTGAACTGCATTACTTGTTTTTAAGCAAAGTCAGTTCTTATGACACAATAAACTTTGTCACAGTATTTAATTTCCATTTAGATAAATGACTAAGCCTTACCATTCAATCTGTGGCACTTTTCCAGCTCCATAAACATTTCTCACCTAAGAAATGTCTTCTGATAAAGATCTAAGCCAGTCTTTTTCCTATTTAATTTTTTTAATGCTGAACATGAGGAACTAGGTTAGAGAATATTTTTAATATGCTTTGGAAATAGTGAAGACTTCTATACTTTTCATCATTGTAGAAGGGTGAATATGATGTACAGAGGGAACTGTTTTCCAGGCATTGGCCACAGCATTAAAATGCCATTCTCTCTTGGGAGAATCACTTTACCCTTGTGTCCTCAGGGTGTATGTGGCAATGCAGCTAATGGAGGCAGAGTACAGAGATAATATTTTAAAACTAGAAGATATTATAATTCTAGCATGAGGCTTTTTAGGAAAAACCTATAAACTCACTGAATAATGTAATTTTCTGGCAAGGTTTTCTTTTGTATCCTTTAACATTTATCTTAAAATACCACCCACATATGCAAAGGTACTTGTAATTTCTGAAGATTGGTTTAGATTGAAAACGGTGACTGTCTCGCATGCTTTTTATACATCTCCGGTGCCCTGCCTACACAAAACTGAAAGCATAGCTGCCATGCAGCCACTGATGTGGGAGTCCATCCTCAGTGATTTGCAGAGAAGGGCTCTGGGTCTTCACCCTCTGCTGGATTATTCCTTTACAGAGGAAAGAACAAATATGAGGAAATCTCAGTTAAAATGAATTGACAAGAACTTCTATGCGGTGTCTGCAGTCCCTGTTCTTTTGTGGGAGGCTAGAACCACACAGTTTGGGAACCAAGGGGAAATAAGGACCCCAAAGCAAACATGAGGTCTCAGAGGTGTAATCCTGTTCATTTTGTGGTTAGGTGGGTGGGGGAGGCTGACTCCCATTGCATCCCCAAATTTTAAAGGTTCCCTGCCCTCTCTCTTTTTTTTTTTTTCTGCGTCAGTCAAAAAGAGTGCAGGATTTCCAGGTTAGTTATCAAAAATTTGCACATGTTCTTAAATTGTATCCATTGCCAAGTCTTCAGACTTTAAAAATCCTGCATGTAATCAGAGAATCAATTTTCATATTGGATTATTAATAATGTAAGAATTTCTACATATAAAATATTTATGCTTGCAAAGATATCTGTTTTGCTTTGTACCTGGGCTAAATTATTGTGCTGATGGCTGTTTCCAAACCACTTGTCCCTTGGATTATTGACTCCATAAATGGTACCATACAGACTTTTGATGCAGTGTCAGTGCAGCTAAGCTAAAGGCTGTGTGTTTGCATGACTAACTTCCATCCTATCTACTGTTAATGTAAAGATATGTTTGCTGTCATTTTCCTGTGTTGTTAAAAAAAAGTTTCACAGTTAAACTTTCTCTATTTTTAGCAAACCTGCGGCGTTTCATGTCCAGATTATTAACCTTCTTGAAGAACCATCTGAAGTTATCTCCACATCCTTACCCAATTGAACATCCTTGTGAATGGCTTTCCATGGTCTTTATAGAACAAGATGACGACATGCTGGAAGCTGCTAAAGCATTATTAACCATTTATTTAAAGTTGAATAGGTTAGTACATATTTTATTTAGACCTGTAAAATACTTATGTCTCTCTGGATTGCATGATCTCACTAAATAATAGTGAGATCATGCAAGAGTAAAAGCTCTGTTATCCAGCATCCCCTGGGAAAGTGGGATGCCAGATAACAAAAAATGTCAGTTAACTGAGCAGCCCTGGCCCCAACTTTTCGCACCGTGTCTGGGACGTCCCTCTGCCCCTCCCACGGCATTGCCGCCCCTCCTGCCGCATCACCGCCCATGGAGGCAGGTCCCGCACAGCCTATTATGCCCCCGGGCTGTGGGGGCTTGGCAGCACAGGCTGCTTTGCCCTGAGCCATGGGGGCTCAGAGAAACTGGAGGTGCCACAGTAGGCACTGCCGGTTTCACTTTATCTTACAAGCTGGCGTGGTGGTTAGTGGAGTGTGCTGGTTTATAAGATGCCGGATAACGGAACTTTTACTATAATATTTTTGTCTTTGATCAGTAAAGCTTAATTGCACCTTGTGCATCTGCAGATGCATCACGAGCAGGTCCAGGATGGTGATCCTTCTGCTCTGTGGCATTGGTGAGGCCGCAGTTGGAGTACTGCGTCCAGCTTTGGGTGCCGCACTTGAAGAGGGATGTGGACAACATGGAGAGGGTCCAGAGGAGGGCCACTCACGTGATCAGGGGGCAGCAGGGCAGGCCCTATGAGGAGAGGCTACAGGACCTGAACCTGTTCAGCCTCCACAAGAGAAGGCTGAGGGGGGGCCTGGTGGCAGTCTGCAAACTTACTGGGGGGACCAGTGGGAATTGGGTGAGGGTCTGTTCCTCAGGGCACTACCCAGGGTTACTAGGAATAATGGCCACAAATTGTTAGAGAGAAGGTTCAGGCTGGACATTGGGAGATATTACTTTACAGTGAGGGCTGCCAGGCTGGAATGGGCTCCCAAGAGGAGGCTGGACAGATATCTGGCTGGGGTGTTATGACCCCGGCACTTGTTCCTGCCCGGGGCAAGGGGTCGGACCTGATGATCTGTTTAGGTCCCTTCTGACCCTAAGCACTATGAAACTATTACATACAAAGAACTTGGGAAGATGGTACATTTTAACAACCTCTCAATGGATTGATCCAGCTAGTTCTTAGCGGTGTAGACTAGAGTATAATGTGATCTCCATTACTGGGAGTGCTAGTGGGAACTTGCCCATTTTTTGATTTAACTGGGTTTTGGATAGCCCTGTTCATCAGAGCAGTAATTTTCTGTTAAGGCCTCAGTCCTGCCCTCTAATTCACAACAGCTAGCTTTGTGTGATTTGAATGATAGATACGTGTATGTTGAAAGGCAAGACTGAGCATTTATGAATGCTGACATTTTTGAGAACTATTTAGCATTAGGATTCAATGTTAAGAATGCAGAGGGGCTGAAGTACTTCACTTAGGCTCAGTCCTGAGAGCTGAACTTCTCTCCCATCTTACAACAAAGGTTTCTTAAGCCAAACTCCCATAGCTTGGTGATGACTGACAGCACTAGTATCTGAAGTGTGTCCATTTGTCTGATGTATAAATTTATCATAACTCTATTTCTTTCAACATTTGTTTAATTTCCTGTATGGAAATTGGGACATGATATCCTCATATTTAAAAGATGCTTGGCTTGGTGAATACCTTTGTAATGTAAAGCTTGAATGATGACACTACTGCTAAGTGTGTGTGTGTTTTTTTTTGTTTTAGGACCAAATCCCAATCAGCCTCTAAGGAGCCTCATGCTTTATTATCACAGTGCCTAAAATTTAGACTTCTTTCCCCAAGAGGGCAAACCTAATCAACAGGGAGTCCAATTCCTAAGCTCAGAGGGAGGAGTAGAGGTTGAGAGAGACTTTGGTGCCTAGGATTTCTTAGCTGCATGCCCCCCCCGCCCCAAGCCAACTTGGCATCTAGGCAAATTGGGTCCCCATGGGAGGCTACCTCAGTCTTCCATTCATGGTATGGCAAAGTGTACATATTTGCTATACCATGAATGGAAGACTGAGGTAGCCTCCCAAGGGCAACCCAGTTTGCCTAAATGCTGAGTGTAGGGGCGTATGCAACTAAGAGATCCTTGGCGGCAGGGTTTATCTGAACCTCCACTCCTCTGAGCTTAGGAATTGGGCTCAGGGCTGTATGGGTGGTGGTTCTGTCATGTTGGGAATACAGATGTCTCAAAAGAGATGCTTGCCTAAACCAGAATGCCTAACTGAGAGCAGCAGTGAGTTTGCACTTGATTATGGTGGCACCTTTTTGCCCAATAGGCTAGCATTAAAGGCACTAACCTAGGCAGTGGGAGATCAGAGCTGTAGGCTGTCCTCAGCCTGAGGGGATTCAAGGACATCTCCCACTTCCAGGATAGTGTGCTAGACACTGGATCACACACAGGGCTGGAGCAGGGCAGCTCCGCACCCTTCCTGCTGAAGTTCACCCATTGCACAGCCAAGCGTCCAAGTTTCATGAGCCTAGATGGGCAAACAAGAGGTCATGTGCCTCCATTCTAGCAAGGAGGACATTCCTCTGGGACGTGGCAGTCCTGGTTTCTGGCCCCTGTTGCCACTGTGATTTCTCCTATTGTTTTTTAAATCAATAACTGTCCAACAATCCTGGCAGCAGTGACTGGAACCCAATAATGCCCCCCCACGAAAGTGCCCTATTTACTAAGCCACAGAGTGACACTCCTTGTGGGCTCCTTGGATTGTTTTAGGTACCTGGGAATTAGAATATGGCCTGTAGATCATTAAATCTATATTTACATACCTAAATCAAAGCTGCCTAACATCTTAAAAGTAAGAGTACCTACTTTTATTTTTAGATTTGCAGAAATTAAAACAAAAATGCTTATTCATGTGCTTTGATATAACCTAAAAATACCTAGTGTATGGAATGGTACAGTTAAGATTAAACTTCAGCAAGTATGCCAGGCATCTTCAAACATCTTGTCCTCCTCCCACTTGGAAAATTCTTTCCCCTTCACTGATCCTAGATTTCAAAACTGAAGGGTAAGCAACAACAACAAAAGATGAGTTTTGCAATGTATTAATTCGGAGCATTTCAGAGTAAGGAGGGGGAAGCAGATTTCAAAGCTGTGGGACCTTCAAAGAAAATGCCCTCCTTGCAGTTCCCCTTTTTTAAAAAAAAATATTGGCTGGGGCTTCTGATAGAGCAGTTGTGATGTGCTTAATATGTAGGTGGAAAAATTTGCTTTAACTGTGTAACTGTAGTAGGACATAGTACTCATACTGCTTATCTTCTGTACAATGCAGCTACCTCTGAACTGGCGCTTACTAAAAGTCTTGAGCAATAGCATTTTCGAGATATATGGATTTAATCTGTTTGACTAATAACTTTTCAGATTACGGCATGCTGCTGCTGCTGACTTGCGCCTCGAAGAAACCTGGGATGATCTGACACATGAGAGCGGTTGTAATCCTCACTGCATCTTTTTATATCTTCTGAAGAACATTTCTTTTGATTCCACAGTTCTTCTTGATTTTTTGATTTCATCAGAAACTTGCTTCCTTGAGTACTTTGTAAGATATTTGAAACTTCTTAGAGAGGACTGGCACCATTTTGTCAACATCTGTAATTGCTTTGATGCTGTAACTAAAGGAGGCGTGTGTGATTCTTTTGCCACCCCTCCCCACCAGGGAGAAAGATACTGTCAAACTGTTTTGAGATGGCAAACTGCCTGCTATGATCCAGAACAACAGACTCTGGCATCTGTGGTTTCTTCCCATGATTCTTTTGCACCCATAAGGCAGCACTGTGATGACCAAGTTGCAAAATCTGACCTGTCTAACACAGTTTCCTTGGGCTGCCTTCAAAGCCTTGTTAATTATGACAGCTCGGAAGACTCTGATTCGGAATCCATTGGAAAGGAATCTTTGGCAAACGTGAAGCAGATGCCTATAAATAAACAAGGCAGTACAAAGATAAGGGAAGCTGTTTCCAGGGTCATAAATGATGAACCAAATACATTTGAATCAAAAATGTTGCCTCTGGGACAAAAAGGTTCTAATACCTCGTCACTCTTGGCATGTAGGCTTTCTTCAAATAACCCACCCCCAATAGAAGGAATGCTTCACAAAGCAATGAAATGTTTGGAAGAACTACAAAAGGCTATTTCTAGGCTACAAAGGAAAAACCTTTTCCCATACAACCCAGCTGCACTTTTGAAACTGTTGCTTCACATTGAGAGACCCTGTAAGCGCATGAACCCATTGTAAGGCAACAGAGTGCCAAGGCTGACACTTTGAAGTGATTTCTCACTAGTAGGCAAGGGACTGTTCCCACAAGATAAACATGTTCTGATGCTCATACTGTGAGGGACATTCCTTTTGGACTTATCGGTGTGTTTTAAACTGAGCTGGCTAAATTGGATGCCAGCTGACACTTAAAGATAAATCTGCAGCTGCGTTTTGAGTATCCGGTCTGCTGTCTCAAAGCCCCAAATTTATTTCCAGTATATGTGACAGTATACTATGTGTCAGGATGAGTTATTAGGTATTAACAAATGACAGTAAATCAGTGATTCTCGTGAAGACCTCATGGTAAAGTACCTCTACTTAAAATGTTAGCTGTAATTCTTTGTACTGTCATTCTAAGATCTGAAGACACTGCTAGATTGGCAGTGCTTTATGGACTGCAATGCAGTGATAATTCCAGATTCTAGTGCTTAGAAGTAGAGATGTGTAAGCTGTTTGAACCAGAGAAGGTTTTATGTTTGAACAGAAGCTACCCTGGTCCATGACTGGGGGTTCTGGGCATCATTTTGTACTGACAGTACTGCATTATTCCACATCTGTGATCTTAGTAGTAAATTGTATTTGGATTCCCCTTCATAGGCCTCAGCAACTAATAGTTCTGCACTTTCACAAGCCTGAAGTCAAGTTATAATTTCACTGAAAACTGTTTCCTCAATGCATGCAAGTCATTTCATTTTATGGCATACCCTTTTAAAAAAATGCTGGACTAGCAAAGGCTCCACTTAACTTCATGTTGGCTTTATCATCATAAAGCTAGAATCAAACTTGGATAATGCAAAAGTGAAGTTCTGGTAGAAATTCTTACTTTGCTCCATTACACACACTCTATAAAATTAATAAATTATAACACAGTAACATATTAAGGTACATGATGCAGGAAAAAAAGAATATATTATGTATGTGTGCTGTAACCTTGTAAGAGTGATGTTTGACCTTTTAATTTAATTAAGACCTTGGACACTGAGAAGTTAAGTCCCTTATTCTAGAGAAGAATCCAGAGCCCCAAGTTCAGCACTCCTGCCTAATAATGCCCAAGGAGAATTGGATAGCTCAACACACCAATCAGAAAACTGTCTGAAGTCTGTACACTGAACATGTAGCTGTCTAGTGCTAGGTAACAGGGAGGCATTGAGCATGGGGTGAGTCATAAATCCCCCTCCTGAAGTAAATGGGACATCAGAAAGGTACCTCCATGGACTTGTGGCCATTAGCTCTGAATTCTCACCTTTTATGTAGGTATCTGTGCCTTCCTTTTCAAGGAACTGAGCCCTTTTTTTATGTAACTCTCTTTTTAGTTTTAAACAGTGACTGAATAAAATATTGAAACAGGCCATAGAGCAGGGACTGGAATCCAGGTCATCCTCCTCCCAGGTCAATGCCTACCCAAGCTCTAGGTCAGGGTCGTGCTCCAGCTCCTGCTCTTCCTGCAGCTTAATGAACCTTGAATCTTTTCCTGCACAGTGCCACAGCTTTATCAGGAGGAATGATGCTCATTTTGCCCACAGTGACCTATAGCTTAGTGGCAGGGCAGTTTCTTGAGAGGCTGGAGATATGGCTTTGAATCCCTTCAGGCAAAGGAAGGAATTAAATTGGGATCTCTCTCTTCCTCTGTGACTGCTCTAATTGCTAGATTATTGGACATAGAGGGATGCTTCTTTGTTTTCCCTGTTCATCTGTTTTAAATTTGCTTGGAGAATGCCTTAACCTAGAGCAAACCTCTCGGGAAAAGACAGAGGACTGCTAGTCCCTGGACATTAATCAGGGTTAGTGCAGAGCTGTCCAATTTCTCAGCAGCTGGAGGCTGCAAGCCAGGCCATTGATGCCTGGCTTGTGCAGGCCATCACCCCCCACCCCTCTTTCTGTACCATACAATTGAGTGGCACCCCCACCATCCCAGCTGATGTGCCACAGGCTCCCCCACTGCACTGCGAGCTCCCCCAGCACTGCAGGCTGTGCCACACTGCCGCCTGTAGAGACATGACATCAACCTTTCAGGTTTCCTGTTCCAGACTTAAAATCAATGAGTCGGAAGGAACCTAGACAGATCATCGAGT